TAAGAGGCGGGGGGGGGCCCGTCCGCCGGTCCCGGGCTGTGGGGGGAAGGCGATGGCGCGGGCGGCAGAAGTTCTTTCGTCTGTTTTTTTCGTTGTGCGGCGTCGGCGGAGCCCGCGGCCCGTCTGTGTGCGGGGGGCGGGCTCCGGCACCTCTCCGTGCCTAACGCCGGCCGCGGCAGGGGTGCTCGGGGAGCGGTGTTTGTTTATCCCCGGTCGCCACCGGAGGTGACGTGGCTTTCCCCCGCTTGCCTGCTCTGGGAGCCCCGGTGGGACCACCCCGGTGCCCAGCACCCCCGGGGGGCCCGGGCAGGGCCTTGTCCTCACGGGTGTTGTCCTTGGCCTTAATGCCGCGTCCAGCTGGGGATCTCCAGGCAGGGCCGTGGCTGGGTGCTGCCGCCAGCCCCGCGGGCACAAGGCAAGCGAAGGGTGAGCGAGGGGAAGTGTCTTCTCACAGGCCACTGGCCCAACCTCAGCCCCGCTTCACAGAGTCACAGAATGGTTTAGGTTGGAAGGGACCTTAAAGATCATCAGGTTCCAGCCCCGACTAGAGCAGGTTGTGCAGAGCCCATCCAGCCTGGCCTTAAACACTTCCAGGGATGGGGCATCCGCAGCTTCTCTGGGTGGCCTGTTCCAGCGTCTCACAGCACCCCAAAGGTACGACCCCGTCCTCCACGCACCTCGTGCACGCAGCTCAACGGCATGGTCTCCCGTGGGACTGCACAATTACCCCAGCTTTGAAAGGGCAAAACCCCTGGGTGGACAGCAGGACTGATGACCAGGAGGAATGTAAAGCCACAAGATCTCTCAATGCCATCTGTGTCCCTTTTTGCAAAACCAAAGGGGAGATAAAAGAAGCAGCAGAAGTCCTTTTTTTTTTTTTTTTATTATTTGTTAGAAACATAGTGTGTAGCTGCTTTGATAGAAAACTCGTTCTTCCCCTAGGGTGTATGCCCTGCCCCTATGCAAAGCTGCAAAGGAAATGCAGCCTGATATTTGCATGTACAGTTCTGCCAGTCAAAGATCAGAAATCAGGCCATTAAAGGCACAATAAGAAGACACAATTAAATCCTAAGATTTCTTTTTCAGTAAAAATAATTCAGTAATGAAATACATAAAAATACACGTGTGAAATAATTTGAATAAAAGATGAAAGTACACCATTTTTGCTTGTCTGGTGTTAGAGTTGTACCTGAATAGAGCTTTTGGTCTTTGTGCTCAGGATCTTTTCCATCGTAGACTCTCATCCCCAAGGGGCTCTGACTCTCTATGCACAAGGGAGATCTGCAAAACAAGTTCAAAAGATAATCCCGAGAGCTTAAACTCACAGCTGTACTGCACACTAAAAATGTTGGTGTGGGGTTTAGAGCAGAGTCTAATCTATTTTCCCCCACAAGCGGCTGGCTATTACATTAGTGATCATGAGCAGTCCCTCTGTCCTGTGAGAAGGAACTGCCAACCTGAGCCCTCCTCTTGCTGCTCCATAGGTGCCCACCACCCCTTCCCAGTGCTTCCACAGCATACGTGAGGTGTATCCAGAGGTGCCGTTTCTGCCCTGTTCATAGGTTGGAATTTGCAGTTCTCTTTCAAACCTTGATGCAGCAGATGCTTCTCTCCCCCTTCACAACAAGGTCCATTATCTTACTGAAAAATAGCACTTCTGTGCAAAATCAACGTTATTCTCAGAACATCGCAATTACACTGAAATAACAACTGGAAATTCTTCAACAAAAAAGGGTATAATGTTTGCCACCTCTGCTTGGACCTCAGCTTTATCTGGGCCAGTTTCTCTTCTCTACGACTTAGTTCCATCCAGAATCAAATGGTCAGCAGCAGTTTTAGGACCTCCGAAGTAGATTAGTGGTCTTAGGCAGTGGCAGCCCGAAGTGTGAGGTTTAAAAAGCTCTCCTCAGCTTGCTACAATAGTGACTGTTATGGACAGCAAGGCTGTTCAGCTCAGGTTTGAGTCATCCCCCTTGGATTATACTTTTAAGAACGTAATGTAGCAGCATGAATGTCCTGAAGTTATTTTAAAACTTGCTAGACCATCGAAGGGTTTCCCTCAAATCTTGTGCGATGTCAATAAATTCAGAGAGCTTTAGCAATGAAGAAGTTTTGATAGTTCGTATTGATTCATAACGGTTACAGAATGTATAGAGAGGGTATTGTCTATGGAAAGGGTAAATGGCTGTATGTAAAGATGCAGTCTACCAGCAAGGAGTGAACCACCTCGGTGTTCTCACTGTGCAGCCAGCAAGCAGTTCAGGAGTAACTTCGAGGCTCAGCGAGATACCTGCCAGCAGGACCTCATTGCTAGCTGTGGGAGGGAACAAGGTAAGAGGCGCTGCTAATGCAGAGAACCGTCTTGTTTTCCCAGTCTAGGCGAGTCCACTTCCATCTCAGTGCTATGGTGGGATAGCAAAGGAGCTGGGGCCACTTCCTGCCTGTGAAATGCTCCCACAGATCCTCATCTTTCAAGTATGCAGGCTCCTAGTGATGATGAAGACTTGGGCATACAGTTCATGGGATCAGGGAAAGTCAGCTTTCCTCGACAGGACTGCAGTGGAGAACATCAGAGAAATTGGCCATACTTAGCCTGTTGCTGGTTTGTCCCTTAGCTTCGTGCCAGCGTGTTTCACTGATCTACCATTTTGCTCTGAACTTCTTTGGCACCTGTACATTTTGGGATCCATGAAGTTGTTCTTGCTGTCTCTGGCCATGTCCCAGTTGTCTTCTCCTGCCTCTGCAGCTCCAGGCACAGAGGAGGCAGTTTGCCTGGTCAAGAGTGCAAGATACTCGCTGATACCTTAACGGCAGGGTGCTGAAGAAGATAAATGTAAACATTTAACAACTGCCTTATTCAGCCCATCTGATACTTAAAATGAAGCAGAGGCCCTAGGGAGAGAAAATAAAGAAAAAGAGTATGTGATCATGTAATTAAAGACTGGATCATAATGAATATGCACAGAAGAGTTGAATTAAGGTTGTACTGGCAGCCCAGCTTCTGATATTTCCTAATTTTTAAGCAATACAATGCAACCTTTACAACATTTCTTTCATGTTGTTTTGGCAGGAACTGTTTCTCGCCATTGGTTTGGAGAGAGCCTAGCACTTTGTGAGTTCTGTCATAATGGAAATAAGTAATAGAAATACAACGACTTTTATCTGTGCCACACACACACATACACACCCTGCAACTATTGCAACATACTCTTTTCCCCAGCTTTTTCTGAAGGAAGCTACTGAGTGTTCTTTATGGTAAGTGGGAAGATTGAAGAGTTCAAAGGAGAAGAATTAGAATTAGTTGATTTTTAAACATTTTTTTCTGGTCTCAGAGTCTGAATTAGTATATATTTGTTTATGAAAATAAATACACTACATGTACAGCATGGATTTTTTTGTTTTCCTGTTTGGGACATTATTCCTGACCGAATAAGGAAATGCAAGAAAGTGTTACAGGTTTTTTATGCGGTATCTTGTTAAAGCCTTTCGGTGTAGAAAGGTGTTAAGTCTGTTCTTTTCCTCTTTCACTGTCAGTTATAGCTATGGTTATGCACTGTTTGGCGTTGACCTAATAAAAAAGTAACAGTTGAGAAAGTGGTATTTGTTTCCAGAAAGCTGTGTATGTGCCTTAGATGGGCATAAGCTTTCTCTCACCTGTTAGCTGAAGAGCAGTGTTTGTGATACATAAAATGCAGCAGCTATCCATTCTACCTATGGTTTATTTTTACTGTAGGTTGATGTTATTAAAATACCACATTATTTTTGTTTTTAGCAAGCATTTGAAGGTGCATAGCAAGGATTTGCTTCTTTATTTTTTGTTTTTGCAGAAGAAAGCTTACCGTGGGATGCATAAAACATTTATTAAAGTTTTAGCCCTCTTCAGCCTTTGCTCTGAATGTGTAGTTAGAGCTGTAGCGACATTAAGTTGCTATACCACAGATGTGGCCCAGGGAGTCCATAGCTGGCCCTGCATCTCCACACTGCTCCACACAGGACCCCGTGGCCTGGTGAGGAGTTCCCACCTTGTTCTGTGACATTTTCAAGCAGGCACCCCTCAAGCTGCGGTGGTGATACTGACGTCCTTTCTGGAAATAAATACTCTGTCCGCGCAACTGGGATTCAGATGGGGGTTCACCCCCCTCGCTGCAGGGTGGGTGGGTGCCCTTTGGTGCCTGTCAAGGGATATCTTGGGCTTAAGTTGTTTTTTCCCTGAAGCCTGGGGAGCAGGCTGTCATTCACGTTGTGTTGCCACAGGACATGTTTGGACTTGAGCCGGGGCTCAGGCCTGGCCTCAGAAATGTCTTACTGACCCAGCCCACCGTAAAGTGGCGCTCTGCAGTGAGGCAGGGGTGCTCTCTGCAGCCTTTCTCTCGCCCCGGCGTTACGACATGGAAAGTAACCGCAGTGTTGTAGCAACGGGTGTTTTATCCTGAAAAAGTGTGGGGGTGAAGAAGTCAGCCGCATATTCTTCCAAAATGGAGAAGTCTTGCTTTTGAAAGCGTAAGATAGACTGAGTATGAGTCAGAGAAAGGGCAAAAGTCTGGTGTGTTACCACACTGGGAACCCCCCTCTCCCTTCAGCATGCCCATGCGTGCACACACACATTCACACAAGCACACACTCTGCATTTGTAGGCTGGTCTGTCGGGCTATGAGTTCCTCAGACCATTTCTCACAGAAATGGAGTCCTGTTTAAGCAAGTGGGACAAGCCCCATAAGCCAGAGTCCCATTCTGCACTCGGCCATAGTCTAACAAACATCTCTGCTGCTGCAAGGAGGGGGTGAGAAAGACTCGGGGGGAGCAAGAGGAAGCTGTCAGCCTTGGTTATAACTACGCCATGGTCTGCAAAAGGAGTTTCAGGAAAGCCAGCTCACGACATCCTAAAATGACAACCTTTGCTGCACTTACTCCACACAGAAAAAGGCTTGCTCTGTGGGGGATAAATTGGATTTCAAAGGGACTGCTCGCAGAGAAGAGATTCCTTGTGGCGTGAGCCTCAGGTGGCAGAAACCAGAATCTGGCCAGGACAGTTTCAACAGAAGGCTTTTCCTATGCTCCTGCTTTGATTTCAGCGAAGAACATGAGACAGCATGCGCACATAGCAGATAAAAAGCAAATTCAGAAAATAGTATTCTGGTTTTGTTATAAAGATGATTTTTTTTTTCAAGTGGGATAGTAGCAGGTGTGGCAGCACGTGGGGCGCTTGTTTTTAACAAAGCAATCATAGTTTGGATCCAGTAACAACAAAAATTTAAGAAGACAATAGAAGCAGATTAGTTGCAAGCTTGTCAATAGAGAACCGCTCACAACACAGTTATACATAACCATTATTACACAGCCATTTTCTCATTTGTATGCAGTTATGAATAAAACAGGAGAGACTAATATAGATGAGATAAACAATCAGACATTGCAATCCTGCATGGGAAAGTTATTAACAATAATACTAAAGGGAAAGGAATTTGAAGTGAAAAGAATGATTTAACCATTTGTTCTCATGCTCTGCAATCAAATGATGTAATTTCAAATTCCAGATTTTTACCTCTTCTGTAGTTTTGCAGAGTGCAGCTGGGATGGGAGGGGTGATAAAGAGGTTTATAGTTCTTCCCAGACTTTTCTGCCCTGCAGTAAAGCTTTAGGAAGCCCTGAAATAATTTCAGAACTCCCTTGTCAATAGTGGCTATATATGGGCTGTTGCACTGACTGGTGACTGCCAGAACAGTCTGTGTCAGTCAGCGCAGGGCTGTTGGTCCACCCATGGTCAGGCAGAAGGAGTACCAACAGAGGTAACCTGCTGGAAGAATAATATTCCGACACCCACTTCAGCATTTCAGGGATCCTTCATGATGCTGGAGCAGCTTAAGGAAGCAGGGGGAGGCCGAACGTAGTTCCATGTTTAATACCACAATGTGGTGTTCTTGAAAGGTTGATTTC